CATGCTCAAGAGACTTTTTATTTTCTCTGCCATAGGAAAAAATACAAAATCATTCTCTACAATCAAAAATTGATTAAGCATTATTGATACCACACTCGTCGAGTTCGATATAATTTATACCATCGAGATTCTTCTTGATACTAGTAATTTTGAATGTAGTGAATGGAATAATGAGGATTTCGTTCTCATTCGGGTACGTGGATATGGTGTGTACATCAATGGCTTGACATGGATTTCGAATATGATAGGTACATATGACTTGATGATTCGACTCTAGATTGTGAGAGTGATTTATTAGAAAATTCTGCGCGACGGCTTGATCAGTTGACGTAGACAAAAATGTTCGCGTCAGGATAGATTTACCTTCTTCATATTGATCTAAATCTGAGTTTTTCACATTCATACCACGATAGGTTGTCCCAATGTAATGACGATACTGTTGTAGTTGCGGATGATGACTGAGAATGGCAACGAAAATGTATTGACCAAAGCCTTTTGGTGGATCATTATCACGATAAACTGTAGTACTCATTGCGAAACTTATCTCGAACCGAAAATCGGATCCACAATTGGCTAAATCTTCGTTTAGTTTGGTAACGAAACGTGTCTTTTCCGTGTAGGCACGAACAAGCGGTGTTGGATCATTATTTTCCATGGCTTGCTTCATGTAATTTTTGATTAAAAGTTTCTGATCAATTTGATCAGAACCAAAATCAATTTTGTCAATATAGCCAGCATGAATTTCTTCTACTAGCCTAGCGAAGGGTACTTTAGTTAACCATTGCTTCAAATGAGTATGATTCTCATAAGCAATTCGATAGGCGTGTTTATATGTATCAAACCATTCGATTGATTCTTCGACACAATCATTATATTCGTTGATGGTATCGGTCTTGTCTATTGTTGGTATTTTATCAAATAAAAACTTTAAGTGAGCAGGAGCTTCATCTTTGGCAACGCATCCCCATTGATTTTTGATCGATTGATTAATACTTTTATGTGTCAATAAAAGTTCTAATACCTCCGCATGTCCATACAATGCAGCGATATGTAAAGCTGTACGATTATTAGGACCTTGCTCATTCAATTCATCCGCGGTCAAAGCTTGTAGAAGTTCACGTACGCGACCTATATCATTATTCTTGCAAACGACATATAATGAATTTATTGATGACATTATTATCTGGGTTTTTTAAAGAAAAGTATTTTCAATTACTTTTTGTGTGGTATTTTTATATAGCTGTCGTTTATAAGAATGAAGCTCAATCGATGTGTCCCTTCACATTGGGAAAAAGACACAGCGGGACTGCAGAATTTTCCTATAGTGGGTAGGTAGGAAAATTTCGTGTTGACAGACATTTCGATGGGTAGAATGAAGAAGGGCGGAAAAATTGACGTTGTCGGTTTCGATGAAAGAGAAGAACATCGACATTTTCATGACATAAAGCAATCAGAAGTATGAATCATCTGTTTACCACGCTGCATACTTTTGTCAAGAATAGAAAAACAAAGCAAAAGGCAACAGTGTATTGTGCTCATGAAGAAACAATGAAATCACTTGCACATTTTTAAACCAATGTTGACACGTGCAGTCAACAATACATGCCTGTGTTTCAAAGATATTTCCATATAGGGTTTCCACCAGGTTTAAATTAAGTATCTTTTATCAATGTGAAAATTTCAGTCCTTATAGAATTCGATTAGATGATTATTTTGATGCATTTGGATTATAGAAAATATCCTGACATCTATGGTTGCCTGAAGTCGATTTTTCATGTTGTTTTTCTCGGCACTTATCATTAGCATATTTTGTGATGAGATTGTAGTCTTGATGGGATTTTTGTTATTCAGTTTTAGTCGTAGTATCTAGATTAACACTATTTTCAAATTGCGAAACTATGGAAGAAATGTGAGAGAGTTAGAAATCTATGAGTCTTCACCCATGTAAAAAAAAGCAGGCAAAAGCCAACTTTTTAGTACTTTCAAAAGTTTTTTTTTAAACAGGAAAAAGCACTTATAAGCGAACCTTTTTAAGTACTTTTCATACTTTTCGACTAAAAATTACTATTAAGTTATACTGAAAGTGTGTTTTAAAATTATTAGAGCAAAATAAATTAAATTTTTTTTTTTACTATTTTCTACTTTTTCCAGTGAATTTTATTACTTTTTCACTCTTTCAGTATAACTTAATAGTAATTTTTAGTCAAAAAGTGTAAAAAAAAAATACTTTAAAAGATTCGTTCATAAGTACTTCTTCCTGTTTAATCCTTTAGCTTCCGGCTTTTTTTGTGAAAAAATCAAAGTTTCTGAAAGTAATGTGTAAATATGATTTTTATTTTTTCTCTTAAAGAAAATACATTTGTATGTTAGCAAAAACAAAACCGTTTCATAATTTTGCCAATTTCTTCCTCATTCAAATGTCGTTTTCTCAAAGCAGTCATAGTGAAAACGTGTGAGATTGATTGTTATCTATTACGTCTTGATGACAAGTCCGATATCGAGAAAACCAAGAAACAAGGAATATAGTTTATTCCTAACTAAAATATATGTGCGTATAACATGAATGAATTCTCTTTATATACAGATACAATGTAAGAATGGAAATGTTCCAATATGATTTGGAAAAAAACATATCAAGAAAGGAAAAATAAAACTAAAAAAATTCCAGCACATCTTTACAGTGATGATCGAGGGGGAAATCCCATTAGTCATTATATCACCTTATCCAAACAAGAATATTTTTGATTCGTTCTTATTCTTATCTTTTGTTACTCGAACGATATATATATATACTACAAGTTAGAAACAGAAAGAGTTTACAGAATTTTATAGAACGAACTAGAATTTTGTGCAAAGATAGAAACTTGCTAGACAGTATTAGAGAGAATAATATATAATAAATAAATAAAAAAAGAACGAAAGAAAACTATTTGTACTCAAGCACACTACAATGACAGAAAATATAGATACAATATACACGGGTAAAGATATCAAGCAGAAAGAAAGAAAGAAGAAATTACTTGTACAACGCCATCTAACAAACGGTAAAAAGCTTTTCTAAGCGATTAAAAAACCTTTTGAAAGTACTAAAAAGTTGGTTTTTTGCCTACTTTCTTTTTTACACGAAACCTCAACAATTAATGTCCGTTCAAAAAGTCCGTGCGTGTGACTATTTTTTGAATAATTTTTGATAGGAATAAGATGCAGACCTGCGGTTTTCGACGTTCGACTACCAAGGCGAAGAGGCATCTTTTCACTACGAAAAACTTTTCTGAGGAACAATTTCGAAGTCGGTTTATCACAGGATCTTTGAAAAATTAGATTGTATCTCTCAAAACTTGCATGGAAACCTATTGATTTTTTTACATACTTGGAATCTCCACTAAAAACTGAGTCAACTCATATATGTTTCGAATCCTTTTGCGACACTTTTTTTCATCGAAAACCTCTGTCCTAGGAACCCGTCTATAAATAAAGTTAGTCAAAAGATCACTTGGACAATGGAAAGCAACTTCAGAAGTTGTAAAATACTACTATAACACAAAACGGCGCAAGATTACACGATAGAAACGGCGTTTTGACGAACTTTATTTATTGATGAGACTGTAGGGCAGAGGTTTTCGATGAAAAAAAAGTGTCGCAAAACGATTCGAAACATATATGAGTTGACTCAGTTTTTAGTGAAGATTCCAAATATGTAAAAAAATCAATAGGTTTCCATGCAAGTTTTGAGAGATACAATCTAATTTTTCAAAGATCCTGTGATAAACCGACTTCGAAATTGTTCCTCAGAAAAGTTTTTCGTAGTGAAAAGATGCCTCTTCGCCTTGGTAGTCGAACGTCGAAAACCGCAGGTCTGCATCTTATTCCTATCAAAAATTATTCAAAAAATAGTCACACGCACGGACTTTTTGGACGGACATTAGTTGATGATATCATCTTCGCGCTACCGTTGTATCCATAGTCGAAACACGTCATGATTTTTTTGACTTACCCACACTCGAAATATTTGAGGAATAAAAAGTTTCAATATAATATTATATAAACACTCATCAGGTCTCTACATTACATATTTAAGCGTTGAATAAAAAATAGATATAATGGGTAAACATAAAAATAAGAATAAAGAACAAAAAATAGGACAATTGAACTTTAAAGTTCGAAATTTGTAGGTACAGGTGTCATTTAAGAGACACCCTACACCCACATTCAAATTGAAAGTCAATTGTTATTTTGAATACGAGTAAGCCTGATAAGATCAGGTTGAACACTATGACCAGCTGTCACTGCATTCAGTAATATTCGTCGATTCTTTTGCAACAATTCAGGATACGATAAGAGTGCGATGAATGGATAAAGTAATTGGACGATAAATGGCATTAAATAAATGTAGTTCACTTGTTCTTCGATTAGAAAATCTGGTAACCAAAATGCATTGATTACTAACGTCATATTTAACGGCATCCAGAAAACGAGATACAGAAGTATAATCGATAATAATTGTAATGTCATCTTTCGATCACGCTTCCATTTGTAGGCTTGTAATTGCATCGAATGTTTTTGCCAGAGAACTCGTATAAAGAGTGAAATAGATGCAATCGGTATGATTACAAATGGTAATCCAAGATTGACAATTGCTTCAATAGCTGGAAGTATTCTATCATTATAAAAACATGGCCAAAGACAGAAACACTGAGAATAATCATATATACTTTCACAAGGATAGATAGTGATAGCTCCGATGTAGAAAAACAATGCATAGAGTGGAATCAAAATCATCGGAACATAATGAAAAAAGAGTCGTTTTACTGGTGAATTAGTGAGATATGTGTGAAAAATAAGAATGTGTCGTTCGATAGAACCAAAAGCCATGATTAGCAAGTTACTAGTATTAATACTATAAAAAGAAATATTAGCATAGGAACAGAATAAATCCGATGATGGCCAAGTATATGAACGACGCCAATAATCTTCGAGAATTCCCAAAACATTCGTATTGCAGATAAGACTTATTACTAATAAGAAAAGAATAGTATGATTGGACAATGATTGGCGCAAACGTGAATTGAAAATCAAGTAATAGATAAGAAAGATTGCACATAGACACGAAGGTACTTGAACAATAGGAAAGATCACTAATTTAAGTAATCGTCCATTTTCCATCATTGGGACGAATACTATGTCATCCGTAGAATTATTCATTGGAGAACTATTTTGACATACTACTAATTGTGAAGAACTGCTAAGAAAAAATGTCTCTCTTCTAATGTGAAGATAATATTAGAGCATAACTAACTCGTTGACATGAATAGAAAAAAATATTTGTTCTTTTTTCTCAGGTCATTTTTTGATTCTTAGCAAACGAGAAGAGCTGAACATGTGAAATTTTATGAATCACAAATAATGAATTATATTTTGCGTAGCTGTGCTATTCTCAATCATATAAATAGTTTCGATGATTATCTCTACAAACTGATGAGGAAGGATAACCTGCTACTTCTTACCGTGAAAACTCATTATCTTTTTACTTTTAGATTGCTATTGAAAATTTGTTATTTGCTCACAGCAAGCAAAATGCGTTGTTTTTGAATATCATTATATTCTGATTGGCTCGATTGTGTCTTCAAAATAGAGACAATATAATAACAAATCTTTATCGCTGACAGTAATGTCAAATATGATGGAAATATATGCTACCTCGATAGCTCATTTTCATTTATTGTTTTTTCTGTTAATGATATATTATATCACGATTTCTAAAATTAGATAGTCGTAGTTTTTATAGAAGGCAAAAAAACAAAATATAACACATACAAAGAATTGCTTGTAAAATATCTTTTACACGAAATAATTATTTAATATAATATCCAATAAAAGAGCATCAAACTACTATGATAAAAAACAAAAAAGAGAATGAAAAGTTAAAATGCAAACTTTTCTTTTAATACTTCTATTGATACATTATAAACATCATTATTCGATATTTTGAATTAAATATAAATAACGAAAATAGTCAAATTGTAAATATTTATTTATCGTTATTGTCAAGTCAAATATCATTTATGACTTATTTACCTTGTCGTAAAAATAATTACATTCAATGTTATCATCAATCTCAAGATGATTTGATAGGAATTTTTTGTATGTATACTTTCAATGATATTTACTGTAGTTCAA